TAAAGATCAATTAGAAACCCTATTGTATAAATAGATTATAGACCATTCAGTTTCTTTTGGAGATTTTGGTCTTCAGTTTTGGACATCCGTGTGTGGTTATATTATTTGGATTAGAAAATTTTGTGTAATCTCTTCTCCCTTTGTTAATAGTAAAATTTTATTGCTACTTTTGGCCTGTGAATATAAGCTTTTGAATCGATCCACGAAAAATTGTGTTCTATATTTTTCTATTTCGTACCTTTCGCTTGTTTCGGCCTTTGTTCATAACATAACAAGTGCTGTTGAAGAACAAAAGTGAATATCAATTTACATAGTCATTTATAAAGATAAATACTTGTCATCGCTCTTAATCAACTTCTATAATTAATTTTAAAAAATAGTTTGAAAAGTGCTATATATATATGTTGCAAAGGATAATATCAATAATGAGATGGACACAGATAAATGGTCCAGTTCTCTTTGTACATTAGTACATCACATCATAGCATAAACTTGTTCTATACCACCAACCGATCACCCATGTGATCTGCATGTTCACTTTTTTAACTGATTAATTATTTGATTAATTACTTAATCTTTTAAATTAAGAAAATATTATTTCTATTATATGGTTTTTTTTTTGTTTTCATATTTTCCTCATTAAAGACAGAGATTAAAGTGCAGGCCTTAGCATAATATGATTTCGCCATTTTAAGCTTTAATTAAAATGTGTATAATATCGTGTATGGTTAATTTTTGAAATAAAAATTATGTTAAACTATAAATTAATTAAATATTAAATAATTAAACATGTGGTAAAAATAAGTGATGAGATAGTTTTGGGGGAAAAAATATATATGAGATAAAATTTCAAACACCTAACTGTTTTATTTTATATATCTACACTACTAATGAAAGGAAGTTAAGTGAAAAAATTTTAATTGACTATTATATCCCTATTAAAAAGGTTAAAACCAAGTATATCCCTAATAATTAAATATTCAAATGATTGTTCCTTATAATGTACGTTTACTTATTTCACAAGTTGATGCCTCTTTCTTTCCTAAATTCTTTTCACCAACCATTTAGTTTACAATACAACCATTATCTAATTCAATTTTTTGCAGACACTTTATTGCCACTTAATTTCTTATTGATTCATTGATACACTTGTACATGATTGTTCAAATAATAGTATATAAAAAAATTATTTTTTTATTTTCAAATAATTGGACTTTTAATCCTTCCTCCAACACATTCCATAAAAGTTTCTTGTTTGTTTCATTTATTTTTTGACCTTTCAGATTTTAACTTAATATTGATTAGCCAATTTGAACTTTTTTATTTCATATACATTCTCTTTTCTCTTGTAACAATCAAAACATAAAAGTTAGAAAACTTCTATAGCTGTTAAGTTTCACAATTATGTGAATTATTTTCTCTATTTCTCTTTCCACTAACCAATTGATCTCACTTTTTGTTCTTGTTTTTTTCTATTTTGTGCATGAATGTGTATATTCCCTTAATTTTTTTGATTCTAATTAAGGTTTGTTCATTTTGATAATGAAGAAAATTCAACATCTAAGAGTAACGAACGATGGATAACATATGAAGATGAGGGCCTGACATGACATATGGCCAAAATTTGCATAGTTTTGTTCAATCTCACTATTTTGTATTGATTTTGACTAGATAAATGTTGGAAGAATTGGACAAGTTTAGTGGATTTGGTCAATGTAGACATAGGGTCTCAAGAATATATGATAAAACACAAAATACAGAGAAATTATTTATCAAAACACAAGAATATTGCTATCTACTAAGATGTGCGAATCCTCTATACTAGGACACCATAAATTTTATATAGTTATCTATTGTTTTGTTTAATATAACATAACTATTAGACATGTTCATGTACTCATTCCTCATAATTTTAGGAAGTAAATTTATTTGATTTGTTGTTAGTCTCAACCTTGCTCACTGGCCATATCCTCAAGGTGCAGAGACTACAATAGTGAAGTGAAAAAAAATCTAAGCAAATTGGGAGAATGAAATAGCTTGTAGAGTCTTGACAACCTCTTAATTTCAATTAGATGATAGAAAATAAAGTAAATTGAAACAAAACATTTAATTTTTTTCCCTTAAAGTTTGAGGGTATCAAGCTAACCTTGATAAAAGATTAGGAATTGTTTCTCTTAGAATAAGAAAACAAAACTATAATTTGAAATAGCTCACTTGCAACGTACGTATACACCAACTAGTATATATATATATATATACTAGTTATTGCCGTACCTATATGTACGAAATAATAAAAAAATTATCAATCATAAACATTTTTGTATTCAGACTCAATCAAATCATAGACATAAAAGAGGGAGAAAGAAATTTAAGTACCGATTATAGTAGAACTGAGCGGTGGTAGTGATGGTGGGTAGCGACGATTGTGGGTGGCAACGGTGATGGTGAGTTTTGGGTGACGATAGTGGTAGTGGCAAAGCTAGGATTAACAGTGGTGGTGGTGATGGGCAATGTTGATGATGGTGGCCAATGGTGGTGCTGGGGCGATGACGGTCGTGGTGGCTGTGGGATCAAGAATAAGAATCCCTTCATATGATGCTATCTTCCTCTCACTAGCTACTAGAGTCGAACATGGTTTGGCATATTTCTCCCTTTCTCTCACACAATTTATACTTATAGATATGCATGAAGTGGTTGGTTAGACTGGTCAATTACCAGCATCTTGCTAAGTTATTCTCTCTCTTTCACAAACACACACAAACATTTCTGTTTTTCCTTGCGGCGAAAACTTATTAGATGATCAATAATACTTGTCAGCAATGCACCGGAGATGAACCGAAAGCTCAACCGGCTTAGACATCATGGCCATGTGATCGCTTCCTGTGATCTCCACCACTTCATTGGGGAGATTTTTCTCGACCATCCATCGTAGAAAATCCTTCTTTACCAGCTTGTCTTCATCACAAATTACGAAAACCCAATCAACCGAACCATATCTCTTTCCCGACAACATCAGCACCTTTGACATGTCTTCGTCACTGTACAAACGCAGCAGCCTAAGCAGCAACATTGCCAGTGCCAAATCCTGTGAGAAATGTGGCAAAATGATAAGAAACATCGCTTGATAATGGTTAAATTTCATACTCGTTTGTGCATAATTCAATGTTTTAAGTATGGGTAATTATATTTTACCTTGAACTATTACCCTTATTTACTTTGTACCATCAACTATAAAATTTCTCATACTACACTCTAAAGTATCAATTTTATTTCATATCAATATATAATGACTGTCATTTTTTTGACGGATTAAAAGGATAAACTTGAAAATCTATTAAAAGAGAGAGTGAAACTCCAAAGTTTTCCATCAAGTGTTTAGTACCATTTTATTTTAAGCAATTCTATTGAAATCTAATTTATTGACACAATTTATTAACCTAATTCACTGTATACCCATCAAATATTAGAACTTAGTGTTGATTCAATAATTCCTATGAAACAATATTATTATGTCAACAAATTAGATCAGATTTTTAGATCCAAATAGTATTACTTTTTTATTTTACCTTTTTTGCAGCCAAATATGATTGCTGAGAAGGAAAAAAAAAGGTTTGGCAAGATGAAAAAAATGTAGAGCTTATGAATGGATAAATATTTTTTTTGATTTTTAACCTATATATGTGCAATAGACAGTTATTTATCGGCAGCACATAACACACTCACATGCACATTATTGTTAAAAAATTGATACCCATTATTTATTGGAGTAATATGAAACAAAATTGATACTTTAGAGTGTAATGTTAATTTTTTATAGTTGATGGTATAAAGTGAAATAAAGGTAATAGTTTAAGGGGATAAAATGTAATTTACTATTTAGCATTCCGATTCTGCATACCTCAATTGGGCTGAACTGAAATACATTTGTTGCTGAGTACAAGGGGCCCAAGATGAAGGTGGTTGGAGGATTGCTGGGTCCATCATCATATGTATAACGACTATCGAGTATAAATTCTCGTCTCCTGAATGACTTTGACAAAGAATCGAAGTAATTAGCCATGAGAATTAGTTAATGTACAAAGGGGTCCGATTATACCATGGCAAGTAGTGGGATGACAATTGAGTCATGTCGAGTTCGTATTAATGTAATGTCAAAATTACGGCCCTCAATAGTGAGTAACTTTTTTTTTTTTTTTTGTCATACGAGTTAACCCTATGGATGTGTTGAAACAGAGAGGAGCCCAAACGATACAGTTTGCTCAACATCCTTATCCTCGCATCTAGTCAAAATATGAACAATTTTTTGTTTGACTAGTTTCATTTCTGTTCAACTAATTTGCTTTTGATGGAGATGTATTCAATTTCATGTAGGCCCCACCATAATGGAATAAATTTGAATTTCAAAAGCATAAAAGTGAAACCAACAACACTTGATATGATAGATGCAAGAGTTCCATGAAAGGAAAATGCTACACGATCAAAATGAAACTAAAAAATTGTAATTTAAATATATATTATCATTTGAATGAGTAAATTCTACTGAAAATATTGATGAGGCTCACTCCTCTAATAGATGATATATGAATTTGGGTTGTATATCAACAAAAACCACAATAAAACACCTCACATATCAACAAAAAAAATGAAGAAAAAAAAAGAGTGAAAATGGGCAAAAAAGCAAGGAATACCTCTTGATTGAGGTTAGATATGTTGAGGGTTGGACCAGGCATCAAGGTAGTGACAAAAACAGCAGCTGAAATTTTTTCTGGAAATCTCTCCATGGCATAAGAAATAGCCAACCCTCCAAGGCTGTGACCTACCAAGATGACTCTCTCATGTGAAGGTAGAGCGACCATGAAGTCCAGCAATGCTGAAAATAATCGGAGAGAGAAGGAACATCTTTCACTTGTTTCGGATCGATCCCGGCAGCAGCCAAGTCAAGAGCTGTGACATTGTGGCCTGCCGATTTTAGAAGTTGCACTTGCTTCTACCAAGACCATTCACCAAGGCATGCCCCATGAATTAGCACAAAGTGCTTGCCAGATTCCGGCCAGCCATGGCTGCTCGGATCTTTCTGCATTCACCATTTGGAGAGAGAAGAAGATGAGAACAAATACAAACATAACATGGTGCTTTTTTTCTAATTTCCTCCTTGTTTTCTTCTCCTTCTGTCTAGAAGTCATAGACACAAATAGTCAACAAATCATATTTTATACACCCTTATCAAGTTCAATTATTTTATCTTGAGTATATAACTTCAGATATTAGGATGAAGGGAACTACTTTAATATTTTTTTTCATCCCTTAAAAGATTAAAATTCTCATATTATATCAGTAATTTCTTCAATTAGTATATAATAGGGAAGAAAAGAAGCATGATCTGTTTGGACTCAAGTTTACTGGGCGGCTTTTCCATCAGCAACAAAAAAAAATTGAAAAATGAGGCTTATGCAAGCCCTTGCAAAGAAAAAATGATTTTTTCGGAAATACTCTAAATGGTTCTAAGAGGTTTTTTAACTCTGACTTTTTCATTTCATTTTCCAAACATTTGTTTCGCACATGAAAAAGTCAGTTCAAAATGTGCCCAATGTATTCCAAAAGCACCGGTCATTTTTTTCCTCTGTACGGAATGTGCCAAGCGAGGAGACAGAAACAAATCATCTGTAACTTTTATGACAAATTGCTTCAATTTAAAAAATTTAGGGTGCAACGTAAAAAATGGGGTGATAAGTAAAAATTTCAAATTTTTTAGAGGACAAAGTGTCATTCACCCAAGATATTTACAGATATTTTTAAGTTACTCCAAAGTCCAGAAATTGTTTATTTTGAATTTGTATGAGGATTCTTCCTTGGAGATTGAGTTTTCTGGGAACATGTCCAGACATGTAGACAATATCGGGGTATATTCGGAATGCCACTGTGAGGCTAAAATGAACATGGCTTTCGTCAGAAGTAGATTTGCAAAAATAAAATTAAATGCAACAATCGAATCAATTCATATCGTTTTGCTTTTAGATGGTATCGTGTCAAAATTGAGTTATTGAAGACTATCCACCANTATCAAAATTGAGTTATTGAAGACTATCCACCATACAAAGGAATGACAAAAATGAAAGAAATTCACAATTTTTGATATTGAAGACTAGCTAAATGAGTTTGTCGTGTCAAAATTGAGTTATTCGTGCCNTGGCTTTCGTCAGAAGGAGATTTGCAAAAATAAAATTAAATGTAACAATGGAATCAAATCAAATCATTTTGCATTTAGATGGTGTTATTTTAATTTTTTATTCAATAGCAGTCGACTTTTATCTAATTGTTTATCATTCATATAAGATGCCCCAACTCTAACCAAGCTTATTAGTAACACAATACCTATTCACAAGTTTTTCGTGTTAAAATCATGTTAATAATGTTTGACACTAATCAGGTTCATTTATGGTTTGTGTTAGTACATCGTATCATTTCAGCTTGACATCGGGAATTATTCAATTACAACTCTCTATTTCGTGTCAAATCTGTGTTGTGTTAATACATCACATAAAAAACTATGACCCCCTAAGTAGAATGGGAGATAAGAAGAAAACCAACAAGCAACTTTTATTTAGTTTACAAGAAATCAAAGCTAAGACACTCTTACTGATGCTTGCACAAAGACAATTCTTCCCTTTAACCAGATTTCTATGAGAGCCTGAAATGAGAGATTTGAATATTTTCAACATCAAGCTTCTGAAAATTACTGCATCTTTGAGTTGCAAAAAATTTCCCCCAGTTATATGCCTTATACTTGGCAAGGTTTTGATCATCTGTCAGCTCTTTCAGGGGTTCCACCATGGTGTAGTGGGCTGGGTTGAAGAAGAATGGAATGAAAAACCTGTCTTTCTCAGAATTCACTATTGCCCTGTGCTCCACACTTTCATACCTTTCATTGCTTCAAACTTGTACATATGTTCACACACTCCNAGAATTCACTATTGCCCTGTGCTCCACACTTTCATACCTTTCATTGCTTCAAACTTGTACATATGTTCACACACTCCAAATGACATTGTCAACAAGACAACCCTCTCATTTTTTGTATGAGTAGTCTAATAGTAGCGTGCTCAAAAAATTTTCTTCAATGAGCACCATTCATGAGTTATTGGTAATGCCAGGTGTCCAGTGTATCGAGCCTATGAAAATCGTTCCGTATAATCAAGAAATTAATACATATTTNTAATGCCAGGTGTCCAGTGTATCGAGCCTATGAAAATCGTTCCGTATAATCAAGAAATTAATACATATTTGTTAAGTTGCAAAATATTTATGATTTTATCACGTAATTACTTATTACAACAAATTTCATCATAAGGATTCCGAGTGCAAAAACCATAACAAAACAAAACAATGAGTGTGCACACGCGTGTGTGCACAGATCTCCCATAGTACTTGATTACAGAGTATAATTTAACAAATTGGAGAGGGCCATGGAAATTGAAATATCGATCTGTAAAGTAAAATTTTGAGAACTTGATGGCGCCGACCATCTAGGCCACAACATGGCTCTGTCTATGATTATCGAGGATGTGTGGTTGCAAACAAAATCAAACCAATTATGGTAAATATAGAACACATAAATGTGGATAGATCTTTTTTTTAAATCTAGTTGTCTGTTATTCTTACGGCGGTCGTATCGTTATTCAATACTATTCTAGAGCTTATAAAGCTTGTAAGTTGTTGGCATTGTACATTTTACATGACTATGGTTCAATCATATAATTCTACCCTTCATGTTTAATAGTAAGTAGCTAGTTGTCTCAATTGTTACCCTAATGTTCCTTTGAGTTGCCTATTGGTCACTCATATGCATGGATTATGGTACTTGAATAATGTCACCAACATTGATAATATAAGCATCACGAATAGGTTTGACCCGAATCCATTCTCCATCTGTTTTTCGCTTCACTTCGAGTCCTCCAACATCGTCTTGAGCGAGGANTCATATGCATGGATTATGGTACCTGAATAATGTCACCAACATTGATAATATAAGCACCACGAATAGGTTTGACCCGAATCCACTTTCCATTTGCTTTCTGCTTCATTTCGAGTCCTCCAACATCGTCTTGAGCGAGGATGACTAGGGCACCGGGAATCCTTGTGGCGGCCAATCCCAAGAGCTAGTTGAGGAATGGGACAAAGCGGATAGTGGTTGAGCCGCATGTAGCTAGTTTGGTCTTCAAAGAATCCATTCAGACGATTAGCCAGCAGGTCTAAGCTCAGAGAGATTAGTTCCATCAACTTGTAAGCTAGATTTTGCCCTTCTTGAGCATAGTGTTCGCATTCTTCTCTGGAAGACCCAAATCTACTAGTTAGTAAATAGGGAAAAATGAAAGCGGTACAATTTTTAAGACTTATTTGAATAAAAGTTTATTTAAAAAAATATTTTGAACAAAAATTTATTTTGAGGCAAAATAACTGAAGTATCCTCTAAGCAGACTTACTAATGCATCAAAATCTCTCTCTATTTTCTCTCACTGTTACTCTCTCTCGAGTAAATATTGAATGCAATAGGGATACTATGTTAGTAATGTTAACACAGTATTATCAACCAATAATAAAACACCAAGTGGGCAAGGTGAACCTCACTTGAGTAGTTATTTGCTTACATGGAGGAAGAATGATTAATTATTTACTTACATGGAGGGTTGATTATTAATTTTAATGAGATCCATTTACTTATTTATTTTGATATTATTAGTTAGTAATATCACGTTAACATTGCCATGTGGTATTGCCATTAAATCACTCACTCACTCCCTCTCTCTACCTCTCTCCCTCTCTCTTTATCTCCCTATTTTCTCTGACCGATACTCTTACACTCTCTCCCTATTTTCTCTAACAGTTACTCTCTTATTCTCTCTCCCTATATTTTCTCTCTCACACTCTTTTTCTCTGAAGCGTAATCAAGACAACATTACTCTCTCTGTATCCATATTTTTTTTATTTCTCTTTCTCCCCTTATTTTCTCTCTCCATTGAAAAAATATGGAAATATGGCAAACCTTCCCGAAAATGAAGATCAAGGAAGGAGGGAGGCGACCCAAGAGCAGTGGAGCCTCGAGAAAGAGGTCACCAAGTTAGAATAGCTACACACACGCTTTGGCAAGGAAGTTGGCCTATCTTGTGTTCAAGCAAGATTCATTTTACTATCTTGTGTTAAAGCGAGATTCATTTTGCACATGTTAGTCTCTCAATGGTTAATGATTAATGATCAGTCAAGAAGAGAATTTGAAAAAAAAAAAGTATTTCCTTTACCGCTTGAACAAAAATAATTCCAAAAATTACCTCAATTCTTGTGGATTATCGGGCCACTGATTAAAATACTCTCTCAACTCCTTATCATCAGGCTCATGAGAAGCAAGAAACAGTGTTGGATTTTGTATGATAAGATCAAACACCTCTTTCCAGTCTCTAACATTCTTGGTATGCTCAGTATCATAATACNTTAGGCTCATGAGAAGCAGGAACTAGTGTTGGATTCTGTATGGTAACATCAAACACCTCTTTCCAGTCTCTAACATTCTTGGTATGCTCAGTATCATAATACCCCAATGGGTTCACTTCATCTCTCCCCACCTTCTTCTTCTCCTGCTTCGACAGAGCGAAGAACTTCCTCGCCGCGACCTCAAGGTTTTTCTGGCGTTCTAATGGCACCCCATGGTTGATCACTTGGAAGAAACCCCAATTCTCGCAGGCCTCACCTATCTCGGCTATAAGAGGTCTTATGGTTGCGGCATCTGGCTCAGGCAAGTCGGGAGAATTTAGAACAGAGAGATCAATTAGTGGAATGCCGTCTGCTTCGACAATGGCGAGTTTTGGGCGGTGCTCGGTGGCTTGGATGAAGGCTGCGTCTACTTCTCCCATGGCTGCAGGGTGGGTGGTGGGTGACTCAAGGGAAGCAATTTAAGTTGTGGCAAAAGCTATACACTTATATAAGAGGTGGTTGGCAAAAGCTATACATGACATTTTATTTATTTATTCAATTTTTTATCCTTCCAATTTTTCATTATACCAAATAGAGCATTAGTGAGTAGTATTGAATACTTTGAACAATCATCCCAAGAAGGCGTGGGTTTGATTGTTGTAATTGTAATGGCCGACCAGTAAACAAAACACCTACAAGTCATTGATTAATTTATGATCATTTCTTTACACAACACAACAGACAATGGAACAAAATGACGTTGGGCCACCGAGACATATTAATCATCTTTAATCCACGAATGGTGTATGAACAACTTTTTCTAAATCAAAGATGCCAAAAAGGTCAAATGTGGGAATCATGAAGCTTGCTTTTAGGAGAAGAATGCCATTAATCTCTCTCTCTCTCACACACACACAGAAAGAGAGAGAGAAGATTTCATATGAAACAAGATAACATGAAAAATGAATTCATTTTTGCATTATTGGAATCACATGACTCAATTACGTACAAGATCAACTAACAGCTTACAAAGATCTATCCCAAGTTTTTTTTGGATCAATCTTAACTCGACTCCATCGAGTCATATTTTAGCTAGTTTGATTCACAATTTTCTGCATTGGAGTCTACTTTCCAATTCATTTTGGTATCGTATAAGATCTCTTTTTTTTTTTTGGCTATTGAAAAAAAAGGTGGGGACAAAAGCGCTCAAAAACTAATACCGCCCATTATTTCTCTTTGAAACAAACTTAGTTAAGCAAGCATAACAATCAACCATCAAGCCCTAATTTGAACTTTAAGACTCGAACCTCCAATCTCAAGATGAGAAATCCTTCTTAGACAATGAACTTTGAACCTACAATCTTAAAATCCAACAATGGGACTGACTAAAGGCCAACCGCTAAACTCCATGTAAGCCCTTACTCAAATTTAAACTCAAATTTAAATTTGAGTAAAAAAGTCTAAAAAACTTGTTTCAACCATTGACTCAAATTTATACCAAATTAAAGAAAACTCATTTTTTTACGAGATTCAAATCTTTAATAGTGAGATTTCACTATCTTTTAAAAATCCAATAATCATTATTATTCCTTTTTAAATTTGTATTTGTCCTTATTTAAATTTGAGTCTCATTGTTGGATTTTTTTTGCAAATCTTTTTTTGACTTAGATTTAATACAACAAACAAGTTTAATTTTGGGGAAAGACCACGTCATACCGAAACTTATAATTTTTTAAGATTAAGTTATAATTTTTTTAAAATGTAAATTAAAATTTTAAATGACATGATCTACTATGAGTGTCTGTTATCGACCATGACTTTTTTTTGAGCAATTGTAACTACTCCGTTTAAAATTATAATTTTATTATAAAAAATAGTATTCGTTCGGTACTCTTGACTTTCTCTTTCGACGTGGTGGTGATCTCAGTGATCAAAGCAACCACGTTATCTTATCATATATGCTGACCAGATTATCAACTCTGTGTAGCCGTGTTGTAGTTTGCTTTATGATGTTTTTATATTTTTAAAAGGTTAATTACATACACCTGCCCCAAACTCGGAGTAAATTGCCCATCAACCCCTTCAATTATGACGGGTTTCACTAATTCTCCTTCTACTTGTCAATAAGCAGTAAAGCATAATAAAGTAACAGATTTTTTAGAAAGATTAGTTGGTGCACGTGTGCGTTGTACGCTAACTATTTTGACTTTTTGTTTAAAAAAAATAGATAAATTGAACCAATTTTCTTTATATGAAGATGATTATATATTACATGATAGTTATATACCACTTGTTCCTTTATTAGAAGATTGTTACACAAAGTGACATTGTTGACGTGGGGTAATTATTACACCCAAGATTTTTTTTGTATTTTGAATTGTATGAACTGAATTGCATAAGGTTCAAAAAAAATTTAATTGCATTGCATTGCATTTATAAACTATTATGCTTAACTTCAGTAAGTGATTAATAGATGGATCACTACTGATTTATTAGATTACTAAGAAGTTACTACAATAAATTATTATTGTCTTTTTATCTTTTTAAGGATAGTATTATCAATTAAGTTTTTGTTTTGACAAGTATTGACATTTAAAATTAGTATATAGATTATTAGATTTATTTAAATATTTATTTTTTAGCGAATTTGGATATACATTACGTACCTACAAACATATACAAAAATATGATATCATTTGGTGATTATTTAATAAAATTGAGTAAACATTTATGTGTTAAATGTTAAAATCATCTCTAATCAACTTATTCAAATCAGAACAGATATCTATAAAAAATTGTAGTAGTTGGTCAAATTGAAGAAGTAAGTGAATACATGAATGGGGCATATTAATAATTGAGCATAATTTGATGAGCCCAAAAGCCAAGTGGTAAAAGTCTATGACCGGCGTCATTAAATATCAATTACTTTTTGCTTACTTCTTTGAATTTTTATCACTTTAGTCAAAAAAAAATGGGAGGTTAAATTGGCTAAGGGAGATGGTTATGTCTATCTCACATGACCGCAATTGATAAGCATTTTTTAGAAACATGGAGAATAAAGAATACATATTATACACGTGGATGATCAAAATGACACATATTATAAAGTTGAGGGAAGAAGACTCCTTAAGTTTAGTCATTGAGGCACATGTTAATATCTCTATTAGTCAACATAAATTGATATTTTTAAGTCGACAAACACGATACAAATTAAAAAATTGAGAGACCAAATTAACACAATTTAGGACTAAAGTGACATAAAGTAAAAAAAAAAATTGTCCTTACATGTTAATATCTCTAAGTCTTGATGTGACCTTTTCCATTTATTTGCACAAAAACCATCCAAACCTAAGGGAAGTGATTCATGATTGCTCGTCGCATTTATAGTAGTTCCTTTCACCTTTCGAAGGGAAGAAAACAGGGATAATTGGAAAGAAATGATTTTTTTCTTTATTTCACATATATGTATATATTGCTTGAGACTTTATGTAGATGGAGAAGGGAAGAGAGATAGAGGTGGAAATAGAGTGAGCAACATAATAAGCTAGAACAAGTATTTTGGTAAAAAAGAAAAGAAAAGAAAATCAGTGACGATAACGTCTCTTGGATCAAAAACCCATCTCAACCTAAAGTTTGAAATGTAATTGCCACCTAAAAATTAAATTTGAATCAATATTAAACATTCTATGACAAAGACAATTAGATTGAAAAATTGGATCTACTCTCCAAAATTTTATTTTTAAATTTGGGATCAATCCTCGCCAAAAAAGCAAGACTTGAGTTCTTATGCTTGTCTTGGGTCATTTATTGTGCCCCCTTTCGAACTTCTTTTCGTCTGTTTGTCCCTGTCTTGTTTTTTTTGTTGGCTCTCCCATAGATGCAGCATTCGAATATTATAATAGTTGATTCTTAATTATAATATCAAAAAAAAAAAAAAAGGTTTGTGCTGGCCGGAATTACGAATTCAAACAATTGTATCTACACTCGCACAAACTTGAGTGTACAAAATTGTTTTACCTCCAATGGGAAGAATATAGGACCAAGGATCAGTCGCAACAGCTAGGAAATGTTTTTATAATGCAAGTTGGGCAACTTGCAAATTATTTAGAACTTTCCTAATACTAAAAAGTGTTACTTCACCTGAAATTGAAGTAGGTTGAATGCATGAAAATGACATTTCTGATTGAGTGTAATTATGTGAGCCGACAATAATTCGATTCATTTTCAATTAAGTCTTGCTCTAGCTTTTTTGGGTCTTCTACGATTATACCAAGGAGAGATGCAAATGAGAGCAAGTATGAATGTGAATTATATTTGTTCTCATAACCTCATATAGACTGCATTAGGCTTCGATGTTAAGTATGTAACAACATCTTCACTATAATATTAAGAAACTACATAACTCAAATCAATCCAAATGATGTAGTAAACACTTTTCTAAGTAGCATCATTTGCAAGACTTCAACAAGCAGTTTTCAGTGAGTATGTCATTTGATTACTACTTTAGGACCAATTCTGTCGTTTGAGTGTAGGGAACATCGCTAAGATCACTTGTCCACTCCTCTTAGTTACAATAAAATCCTGCAAACACACATTAAGTGTTTTAACATTTCACTATATATATAGACTCACAACATATAGAAAAATAAAACTTATTTAGTAGTCATGAGACCAAAAAAATATTTTAGTCATGTTATAATTTAAAATATATATCTAATCAATATTGGTGATTAGTAATACCAAAAATAGGAGAGTTTACAGAGGGAGAAAAGGGAGAGAAATCACACCATAAATGTATATAGATCTCTACAATTGAAGTTTTTTTGAAATGTTTTGAAGATAAATCCAAAAAACGATCCAGATACTGCATCTCCATTCTTGAGCCCCCACCTCCAATCCACATGAAAGAAATATATAGAATTTCATTCTACATATGTAGAGTATTGCTAATAGGCATCAATATAAAATTGAAGAGCTAATAAATTAAATAAGAAAGAATGTATGAAATAGATCCAAATTGTAACTTATACATTGTATGTAAATAGAATATTTATTTTAGAATCCGTAAAGCCTACCATTAAATGAGTAAAATTACTAGTGTAGATTCAAATTGTAACTTATATCTTGTATGTAAATAGAATATTTATTTTAGAATCCATAAGGCCTAACGTTAAATGAGTGAAATTATTAGTGGCTATTGAATGAAGGGAAAATTTGAGGTTATAGTTGTAAATGAGGATGATATAGGAACCGATAAACAGAATGGTATGAAAAGCATAGAGGCAGAGAGATAAGAGGATAATTTTTTTAATAGCGGGAAGGTGAATCAAATTGCCATTATTAGTGGTTAAAAGGTGCATTAAGTGTACAAAGAAATGATCATATATTTCTCTTATAGAAATATGAGCAAGACATTGTCTTTGTAAAATTAATAAGGTTA